CAGTATGGTGGCTGCACCGAGAGCAACAACTTATGTGGCATGCCCATCAATGAATGTGTGGGAGAGTAGTTCATCTTTGACTGTTGTTCTTTGTTCTCTTCAGCCAACAATACACGACAATTACAACTGATGGTAACGATTTAATTCCAGAGTAGATTTAATGAACAAACAGGTGCGGAACTTTCTTGCCTGGTTGATTCTACAGTTCATGTTAATGCACCCACTGTAAATGCCTCACGCACATGGCTCTGTGATGTGCAGAGAGCACCACTCTAATTTGACTTGTAGCTGCTGTGAAGACCAGTGAGCCTGTGAATCTTTTTATACTTTTTGCTGCACTAAAGAGAAAAAAAACTGGACTGTCATTTTATTTGAGATAACTTTATACAGCAATCCAGCATTTATTCAACAAGTGAAAATATTTATATAAATATTGCTGATACGTGAGCTCAATGCTATGTGTAAAAGAATAGTTGCGTTACCAGTGCTGAATAAAGTGCCTCACTAGGACCATTACAGGCAAACTCTCATTTTGATCCTCTCTGCAAGTTTGAGCTCAACATTTATTTTCTGTTTGACATCACTTCCATGGCTTGATCTACACTCTGACGTTACAAACAGGTCTCAGAAATGATAAGCTGATTTAAGAGTTTATCTGAGAACAGTTTGTCAGTGTCACTCTTTGTGGAGCACTGATGTTTTTAGTTCTTCCACCAACCAGTAACTTGGTAGCAATTGATGTTTTGCTCTGTACACACTTACATTAACAGCCATATGCTGCATCATGTAGTCATGTGAGTTTGATTAAACTGATCACTCAAACCAAGAGGAAGAAAAACAAAAAATGATGTCAAGCTTTATTGTGTCTATGAAGAAACCTCGAGTACTCAGTAAAACCTCAAATATCATGAAACTCTCCAGCATGGATGTAGAGCTCACACCTCACTGGTTAAAGAAGCACTGTTGTGCCATTCATTCAATAACCATGCACTGACAATAACTATTAGAGACAACTCGGTGAGCAAAGTGATGCAATCATTTCAAAATTTCTTTAGATTTTGCAGTATTATCATTATTGTGATAAATGTGAATAGTCAGTATATAAAGACAACCAGCCAATGTATCAATATTGGGGGGTACAGCAAAACACAAAATGTTAAGTGTGATATTAAGAAAGTGCACAGTCAATATCACATGATATCATCAATAATTGTGAGCCTGACAGATTTTAACAAGTTGATAATACTCAGGAGTAGCACAAATGTGTAAATGAAATAACTACTCAAAACCAAGATTAGGGAAATCTCATTGTGTTTTGTTCCTTGGAAAAGGAGAAATAAATATATATATATATATATATATATATATATATATATATATATATATTGGGGTGTTAGATTTTGATATCAATATTGATATTGGTAATAAAAGTCCTAAAAATTGGTCGTCTCTGACCACTTCTATGCACTTGTAATTTTACTTTTTTATGCTTATAGAAAAATGTCATTCATATTGACATTGCTAATAAAAACTATAATAGACTATAATAATAAGAATTTTAATGGTTAAAATCTGTTAGAAGTATATCAGGAAAATCTGTAGATATATCAATATTTGTGGTCACGACAGCATCAATGAATGAATGATAATTGGGATATTTAAAAGCGAGATCTTAATATTGTATTAGCAATGCGCCTATAATTTTTGTTAAAAGAAAAATTGTAATTCATGTCTTTGTTTGCTGTTGTGCAGTTTTGGGTTCTCACCACTTCCATGTACTTGTAATTTGAGTTTAATAGCTTCACTTTTAATAGCTAATAGTTTAATAGCTTACCAAAAAAACAGCACGCACTAGATAAAGTTATAGAAGAATTTTGCTACCAGCATTGATGCAAGGTTTTTTTTTTTCAATTATCAATTTTTGTTTGTTTTTTTTAATTTGATTTGATTTTTTTTTTTTTTACACAGCAATAATAGTACAAATAAAACTCTGATATAATGACAGCCTTAATTCATTTCATCCATTCAATAACAGACTAATCATTCAGGAAGACATTTGCCCAAAAAGCACTTCAGTGTTTAGTTCATTGGAGCTTTGTGGACAGTTTCATAGATTTTTGAAGCAATATCAATCAGTACTTCACTCTAATTAAAATCAGTTTCCAGCCCTTTAAAAAAAAAAAGAGCTACAGATTTGTTTTTTTTTTTGTTTTTTTTTTTTTTTTTTTCAATGTAGGTGTTTCATTTTTGTGTCATTCAGCGTGTGCTGTCACTGGGGAAATCAGCCATTTAGGGATTTTTTTAATAATACTGTTCAGCTTATTATCAAATTAAAGAAAAAGAAAGCTCAACCCTTGTCTGAAAAATGTGTGTAAATCTTGTTTGTGTGTGATTATTCTTCTTCAATAAAAGTTTGTTTATTTTTTTCCGTTGTGGTGTTGTTTTTAGTTTTCTCTGCAAACGTTTTTCATGTACAGTGCCTTGTGTATTCAAGAAATTGAACTACAGGATGGGCCATTTATATGGATACACCGTAATAAAATGGGAATGGTTGGTGATATTAAAGTCCTGTTTGTGGCACATTAGTATATGTTGAGGGGGCAAACTCCTCAAGATGGGTGGTGACCATGGTGGCCATTTAGAAGTTGGCCATCTTGGATGCAACTTTTGTTTTTTCAATAGGAAGAGGGCCATGTGACGCATCAAACTTATTGGTAATGTCACGAGAAAAACAATGGTGTGCTTGGTTTCAACGTAACTTTATTCTTTCATAAGTTATTTACAAGTTTCTGACCACTTATAAAATGTGTTTGTGCTGCCCATTGTGTTGGATTGTCAATGCAGCCCTCTTCTCCCACTCTTCACACACTGATAGCAGGAGAAATGCCAGCACAGGCATCCAGTAGCCGTAGTTTCAGTTGCTGCACATCTCGTATCTTCACACCACAGACAATTGCCTTCAGATGACTCCAAAGATAAAAGTCTAAGGGGGTCAGATCGGGAGAATTTGGGGGGCCATTCAACTGCCGATGTGTGATTAATTGGTTTATAATCACTTAAACTAGTGACCTACAAGGAAGTGTAGGATGAGGCTCGAGGTGTTCAGATGCAGTCTGCATCTTCACAGTTATCACAAGCCCTCCACACTGTATGTTTAAGGTTAAAAGGTTTAGATTTTGACCAGAGGGGCCGATGGCGCGATATGGTAGCCTCGCTTCTATCAGTCTGCCCCAGGGTAGCTGTGGCTACAACTGTAGCTTGCCTCCACCAGTGTGTGAATGTGAGAGTGAATGAATAGTGGAATTGTAAAGCGCTTTGAGGGCCTCGAAAAGCGCTATATAAATGCAATCCATTATTATTATTATTATTATTATTATTATTAAAAGTTTTATCAAGACCGTGTAAAAAGATGAAAGTTCCCAGGTGAACGTGAAGATGGAAGTGCTGAAATCTCTTAAGCCTGTGTTCTTTCTAATGGCCAGCGGGGAAGGATGGAGATGGTTTAAGCCATTTAACCCTTGATGTCATTTCAGTTAAGGCCTCAGCAAACACTGATGAGCTTTTGTCTTCCTGAATACAACATGATACAGTATTCAATTTTACTTTTAGTCATGTACATTTTAGACAAGGTGACTTAAAAGTATTGTAAAACAAAAACAAAAAAACATTTGTTCACATTTTTGAAATGATACTTGACATCCTGACTTATCAATCAGGAAATATTAGTTACACTACAAACATGGTGGGCAACAAATAGAAGTGAAAATACCATAATGAATGTTTTAGGACAAAAAACTGAACGTTCCTGTATTGTATCTGTACTGTATGTTGGAGTCAAATTGTTAAATGTTGTCATTGTGTTACTTAAATTTGTAAGTCTTGGTTCAAACTATAGGATCAAAGACATTTGTTTCTGTTGACCTCCCCAGACTGTTGAACGGTGGGGGAGGCTGTAGTGGTTTATTATGGGACATCCTATGTGAGGGTTCTGTTTTGTTGTTTAGTAAGCTTCCTGCCTTTATGACCCTTTTGTGGGCAGGAGGTCACACAAAAAAGCACCCCCACTCACACACTCACAGTACCTTATCTCTTAGAACCATAGGGGTTTTTTACAATGTGTGGTGCTTATGTGTACTGTAACTGTTTTCAATAAAAGGCGGCAAGGAAGGCTGTTTATTTGAAGTTGGCTAGGAGACAAGTGAGGAGCGTTTAGCTCCTAGAGCCTGGTTCCGACCAGCCTCCCTTGCTAGCAAGTAAAAACCGGTTAAAGCTGTTTGTCTTGCTTCCTTGTTTCGTTAACAGGAATAAGTTTCTAAACCAGCGGGGCCTGTGGAAGCGCAGACCCAACACTGTATAACATATTATAGATCCACAGCAGTATCATGCAAGATGATCACCTCACTGTCCCATCTGCTTACTGTACAAGTTTTCCAATCGCATTTATTTATTTATACTGACTAGGGGTTGGAAAGTAACTCTGATCATTTATGTAGCATCTTAATTATTTATTGTTGAAGTCAACTGAATAAGTCCACAGGGAGCATTAAATGTCATCAAGCGCACAAGCCACCTGATTGCAGACTAAACGAAAAAGAATCTGCTACAATAGATTTCATCGATCTCCTACCTGGAAAATCCAATTTTAGCCTCTGACTAATTGCATTTCTGCAGTGAAGCAAAGTGATGGCATATTGCCATGGATTTTCCTCTAAGCAAAAAATGAGTCCAGCAAATTCAAGAGGTCATTGATGAAAATCTGCTTCACCTGAGACTGTGATATGGTTAGTGTTTTTCAAAGTAAATTCAACTGTCTTTCAACAGTTTTGTTATTTTTTCAAAATGTATTTTATTACAGACCTCTCTCTTGCCAGGCGTGAATGCCCCTCCTCTTTAATGTTGTTACTAAACATACTGGGTAGATACACCCAGTATGTCAACTGCCCTTCCACACCCTTTTAGTTAGTTTTCCTTCCTCCTTATTGTTAGTTAACCCTGGCAATGAGAGAAGCAACGCTGGGCTACTGCTCACACACGTCTGTCACAGAGATATTGCTGGATACAGATTAGTCAAGGTAGGTCCTTAGATTATTCAATTGGTTTGTTATCTCAACCACAAAATTAGTGTCTGAATTTATCATTTCATTTGAATTTATTTACATGTTTGTAATAAATTAGGAAGCACAAGATATGGAAATTTGGTTACAAGTGAAGGTTTTGTGCTGTGCTGTGAGCTGCTGTCACACAATCCCATTTAGATACAAACTTGCAACAAATGGTTAATGTGGAGATAAGAGCAGATAACAATGATTAACAGGAGCCTAAACAGAGCACAGGTGTCCATTGTGACTTAAGGGTCAGTGTTGTCACATCAAACAAAAGTGTACTGTAAACAGTAACTGTCTATAGCAGTATTATGTCTCAAACATTTAAGCCCATTAGTGAGACTAATCTAAAGTGTCATTTTGTATTTTATGGTAATAAATGTGACAAACTCTGACAGAGGAAGATTATCAGTAAGGATGACTAGCGCCTGTGTGAACTGCCTGAAATCTCTGGTGACAGCTCTGCACTTCCTCTGCTGGGTAGGTACGTTGGGGTAAGAGACCCACCCAGACTACAGAAAACATGGGTTGTCATGTAACTGTGAATTACCAGTTCCAGTCAGATGACATAGCACACTTACAGTATACACATTTATAGATACACATTATGGTAAATAGTTATAGATAGATAGACAGATAGTAGTTGCCTACCTTGTCCAACAAAATGGGGGAGTGTTGTGTCAGGAAGGGCATTCGGGGTAAAATCTGTGCCACATCAACATGCATATCCATCTGCTGTGACCAGCCCTTGGGAAATAAGGGAGCAGCTGGAACTACCTTCTACTTGTAAATGTGGTGCCACAGTTCTTGAACATTGCGCATTCATTTGCAATTGTTATCAGTCAGGAGCACCATTTAATTTCCACAGGCATGCACTTGATTACGTTTGACCACAAGAGGGGATTAAAGTACCATTTTAGGCTCCGATCAAACGTTCAAAGTTTTTACTTGTGATGGAAATAAAGTGGTCCCTCGTTTATCACGGTAGTAAATAACCCACAATAGGCGAAATCCGCGAGGTATCTAATTTTAAAAAAACAACAACAATTATTATAGATGTTTTATGGCTGTAAAACCCCATTACTACACACTTTATACACTTTTCTCCGAGAGGCTCGAACATTTCCCCACTTTTCTCAATGGTTTAAACACTCTAAAAGTTCAAACCTTCGTATAAAAAGAAGTCCAGTATTATAGAATGAAACCAAAGGCACCTGCAGATGCCTTTGACGGTGCAAAACGTTTCGTCGATATTTTTGTGTTTGTTGAAGAAAACTTGCAAACAAACATACAGTACAGTACTTCAGAGTCACACTGCTAGCGATCGAAGATTTAGGTAAATTTGACAAGCTGAACGCATTCTGTACTGTACAGGAGACACGGCATGAGATCGATTGGTTTACAGCCAATCAGAACGCAGAACACAATACGCTGTAAAAAAAAAAAAAAAAAAAAAAAGCATGCAAAATTGCACAAAAAAATCCGCGAAACAGCGAGACCGAGAAAGGTGAACCGCGTGTAGCGAGGGACCTCTGTAATGCACCCATAATGCTCCAGTGTTTCATTTTAATTCTAGAAAAAAAAAAAAAAAAAGATTAACTGGGTTAGTCTGTACAAGCTTATTATGAATTATGTGCAATGTTAATCTAGACAAAAACTAAACAAACAAAAAAAAACTAAAAGTAAAAATACACTATGCAAAGACATATAAATTAGTATACTGAATACAAGCAGCTTAAATTGTACAGTAGTGTGTGTCTTATGTAAATATCTCCTTAGCTACTTCCATAAATCAGTTGTCAGTCTTCTTATTTGTCTTTACAACATGTTCAGTATTTTATGGTGGGTCTCGGGGCCAAACACAGCGTTTCATGTCTTGTAAATGTTAATGCACCATTTTGTTTAGTTTATGATGGAAATTACTTTCTGTATATAAAGAAAATCAAAAATAAGGCTCTAGGCAACATTTCATAAATAAATAGAAATAAATACAAGCTGTGAGAAGTGTATCATTTTCCTAGTTGCATATATAGTGTTTACTTCGCTCTAGATGTGAGTCAGTGTGTCATAAGTTGACGATTCTGTCTAACATCAGACGTCTGCTGTTTTTTTTATTTGGGAGACTAAATTAAAATCCAAACTTTCTTGATTTTGAGTGTAAATTCAGTTTTAGTCCATATAGGCAAACCCACATAGACTCAAATTCAGAATAATAATGTGACATGTCTCTTGTCCTATTTATGTGTGTATGTGTGTTTGTTTGCTATGGTGAAGCTAAGCAACGCCTTTGTGGTGGCCTTTGGTGAATTCATGATGATGCACTCCAGGTTTGCCTCTCTAGTCACCTCCTTCTGGCCAGTCTACCCTGCCAACACTCTGGTGGTCACTGGTACCATTGCCACCTGTGTGTGCTACTTGGGAGTGGTTGGAGGCATGAGGGAGAACCGCTGCATGCTCATAAGCGTGAGTATGAAGCAGTGACTCAATGTCGCCCAGAGATTTTTAATGAGTTACTATAAAATAATGATAAACTTTATAGTAGGCGATCGTGGCTCAAAGAGTTGGCAGTTCGTCTTGTAACCGGAAGGTTGCCGGTTCAAGCCCCGGCTCGGACAGTCTCGGTCGTTGTGTCCTTGAGCAAGACACTTCACCTACCGCCTACTGGTGTTGGCCAGAGGGGCCGATGGCGTGACATGGCAGCCTTGCTTCTGTCAGTCTGCCCCAGGGCAACTGTAGTTGCCTCCACAAGTGTGTGAACGTGAGAGTGAATGAATAGTGGAATTGTACAGCGCTTTGAGGGCACTGAAAAGCGCTATATAAATACAATCCATTATTAAATTAGCATAACTATGCTTTTAATGAGCTTTGCATTTAGTTTGAATGAATGCAAATACAGTACACTGAAATTAGCTGAGAAGATGCAAATGTAGTCATGTGGTGTCCCATTTTCACCCACACAGTTTTATGTCCTGCTGTCCTTCCTGATATCTGTGGAGCTGGCCATGGCCTGTGTGTTTTTTGTCTACAACAGAGAGGTAGGACAGTCACTATCTGTATCCATATGTGTATACATATACCAGGTTATTTAAAGGTTTCTATTAGAAGTACACCAATCCAATTTTTTCCAGTTGTGAAACCAAAACCAGAGGAAAAGAATGATTACTTTATGTGTAGCACAATATCAGGTTTGATAGTTTGACAAAATTTGTAGCATAAAATGTATCAAATAATGGCAACAGAACCATAATAAAGAAAATCTATGCACTTTATTCACCTCTATAAGCTGTCTAGCTTGGTTCATGCTGCTAGCAAGTTCACATGGCCTATTGAGTGGTTGTTTTTTGTCCCATGATGATTACCCCTTTAATGCCAAGTTACCATGATGCCCACATCCAGTGCTGACGTCAAAAGTAGGTGTGAATTCTATTAAATTGTTTAGTCTCATAAATGTCTTAGAGTGTTGTTACACTACGAGCCAGATTCAATCATTCACACACTTGTAAGCTCTTTTTAAAATCTATTTTGCAAATATTTACATGCCAGTGAAGCATAAGGGACAGTTTAGGGTTTGCAGACTGGAGAAGCCATTGATAAAACCACCTGTGCTACATAATCGGAACCACCTATTCTACTTATTGTCACATAGTGTTACCTTAAGTGGAACAAAAGCTTCCCGGCAAGTATTAAGAGACACAAGTAACAGAAAGTAATAGGGTGAGTTAGCTGTGTCAGCTCACTTCACCGCATTTGTAGTTAAGCATAAAGCACAATATACAAAAAGACAAGCTGTTAGCATTGCACTCATGAAAAACTAAGTGCTGTTAGCTTCCTCCAGCTGCACTGCTGCTACTTATAGTGTAGTAAACAGGACAACATGGAACTGGACTGAATTAAAGTCCTATCCAAAGCAAATATTGCCACTGGGTCTTCAGGTTTGGTCAGGTATTTTGTACAATTTATTTAAATATAACTTTAATTTTAACAGCCACCAAAACATAAAAACTGTATGCTTAAAGTTGGAAATGAAAAAATAAAGTTTCAAAGTTTACTACTTCAAAACAAGGGCATACTTTACTGTTGTGGAATTATTTCTTAGATTGAGAATCTGTTGAGTGCCACATCTCAAACACATTGATTGGCCTGTTATTACAATATTGGAAAAGCTGAAGAAAGAGTCCATGACATACTGAAGTGTTGTATACTTAGTTTCTATGTGGATGGACATATTAATTAACCAAGGAGCTAAGTTCATTCTCCAGACTTACGGCATATGTTCTCGCATTTTTTGACTTTTTTGCTTGTTTGGTTTGATTTGGTACTGCTATTTATCCCCACTTGTATCTAAACACTGTTTTTGTTCATGTCCAGTAGGCTCCAGTATATTTCTGTTCTTTCGCTTCCTTTCTGTCATGCAGATTGGCACATACTTTGAGAAAGATCTGATGCACAGCTTGGAGGTCTACAAGATATCGGGTCCAGGAGAAAATCAGACACTCAAAGATGACTTTGATGCCATCCAGTATCTGGTAAATGATAAGCTGCTTTCCTCTGTCAGATTAATCATGCATGTCCTGCTCCACCATTTAAAGCTAAACACTGCTCATATTAACACTGAATCATCAAACTCAGAAAAACAGGCTCATTGAAGTAGAAACTTGTAGCATTAAATGTAATACTATGAATATTGAGTTAAAGAATAAATATATGGAACTGGATATAAACAGAATAGGAAATCATTTTGTGCCTTTCCCTGCTCAGATAGCAGACATGTTTACTCCACTGAACCCGAGTGTTGTGTTTTGTACAGTTTAAGTGCTGTGGAGTCCACGGTGTGGCAGACTGGGGGGGAAATGTCCCAATATCCTGTTGTACTCTGGACCCTTGTAACGTCACTGACCAGCCCAACTGGCAAGAGGTTAGTTTACATTATCAAACCATAAAACACTGTTTTTAAAAGACTTTAGTTTCATTGAGGTGAACACACGTTTAACAAAGAACGTAGCAGAAAAAGGGGTGTTTGAAAAAAGATTTTCAAAGTAGACAAAAGAACAGGTGAAGTAGTAGTTGTTCCAGAAAAAAGGTAACACAGGAGTTTCATGAGACGATAAAAACAATTTCCATTTTGGATATACATTAAGAATTTGGGAATGTTGCTTTCAGATAAATTACAGCATATTAATTCATCAATAACAATTCCAAACTTCAACCAATATAGTTTGTGTTTGTTTAAAGCTAAACCCCAATTCCAGATCTGCTCTCTCTAATGATAACGCTTAAACACATCCCACATTGTCTTACACAAACATATGAATTTGACCAACATTCAGTTGTGAAAAAAACTGAAAAAATCTACAATCGTTAATTTCATCTGATTTACAGTTCTAATAACAGTGTTTTTATGATCTGGTTAATCTGGTTTCTCTTTAATGCAGCGGTCCCCAACCTTTTTTGCACCAAGGACTGGTTTATGCCCGACAATATTTTCATGGACCGGCCTTTAAGGTGTCGCGGATAAATACAACAAAATAAAACTATTACCGGTACCGAAAAAAAGAAAATTTATTCATAACACACGTGAAAAGACCCAGGAAAACCGAGTAAACGATAAAAACGATAACAAAATAACGCTGAAAACCGATAAAAACCCTGAAAACCATACATTTCACACATGAGCCTCAACTCTCGTGGCCCGGTACCAAACGACTCACAGACCGGTACCGGTCCGAGGCCCGGGGGTTGGGGACCGCTGCTTTAATGTTTCACTGGTAATGACGTTTTAATTATACTGCAAGGTCTTTTAGTCTTTATTTAGAAGGCTTTATCATTCTCTCACATCATTGTGGAGGAATTCCAGCACACTGTACACTGTTAGACTTTTTGTTTCCACTTTACGGTAACATACTGGCGTCACTGTTGCCAGCGTCATACCGTGACGCTGTGTTACGGTAGCTTACCGTTCTGCAGGATGATACCGCTTTTTGCTGTTGTGGTATAATACTCCTGGACAAATTATGGTAACGCACCGTAGCTTTTTTTACAGTATCTCACTGGCGAGTGACGCCGTTATGTCGTTATGTCGTTATGTCGTAAATTACGTCAACAAAGTAACATCATACTGTGATTAAGAAATTGGTATACTACCGTTTATTCATGGTATGTCACTGTAAGCCCGCTGCAAGGTAATAAACTGCAAGATATTTACCAGTAACTTACCGTTATCACGCATCATCAGTGCCAAAAATATTCATCTCTGCTAGAGGATACCGTGTTCCTACAGGCGGTCATTTACTGTTTAACAGGTCGTAATTTACCATAATTTCAGGAAACAGTAACATACTGTAAGAGACTGGAGGGTTCCAAAAAAAATTGTATTGTATAAATGTATCATTTATTTATATATATGTATATATACAGTGGGGCAAAAAAGTATTTAGTCAGCCACCGATTGTGCAAGTTCCCCCACCTAAAATGATGACAGAGGTCAGTAATTTGCACCAGAGGTACACTTCAACTGTGAGAGACAGAATGTGAAAAAAAAATCCATGAATTCACATGGTAGGATTTGTAAAGAATTTATTCGTAAATCAGGGTGGAAAATAAGTATTTGGTCACCTCAAACATGGAAAATCTCTGGCTCTCACAGACCTGTAACGTCTTCTGTAAGAAGCTTTTCTGTCCCCCACTCGTTACCTGTATGAATGGCACCTGTTTGAATTCATCATCTGTATAAAAGACACCTGTCCACAGCCTCAAACAGTCAGACTCCAAACTCCGCCATGGCCAAGACCAAAGAGCTTTCGAAGGACACCAGGAAAAGTATTGTAGACCTGCACCAGACTGGGAAGAGTGAATCTACAATAGGCAAGCAGCTTGGTGTGAAAAAATCAACTGTGGGAGCAATCATCAGAAAATGGAAGACATACAAGACCACTGATAATCTCCCACGATCTGGGGCTCCACGCAAGATCTCATCCCGTGGGGTCAAAATGATCATGAGAACGGTGAGCAAAGATCCCAGAACCACACGGGGGACCTGGTGAATGACCTGCAGAGAGCTGGGACCAAAGTAACAAAGGTCACCATCAGTAACACACTACAACGGCAGGGAATCAAATCCCGCAGTGCCAGACGTGTTCCGCTGCTGAAGCCAGTGCATGTCCAGGCCCGTCTGAAGTTTGCCAGAGAGCACATGGATGATACAGCAGAGGATTGGGAGAATGTCATGTGGTCAGATGAAACCAAAGTAGAACTTTTTGGTATAAACTCAACTCGTCGTGTTTGGAGGACGAAGAATACTGAGTTGCATCCCAAGAACACCATACCTACTGTGAAGCATGGGGGTGGAAACATCATGCTATGGGGCTGTTTTTCTGCCAAGGGGACAGGACGACTGATCCGTGTTAAGGACAGAATGAATGGGGCCATGTATCGTGAGATTTTGAGCCAAAACCTCCTTCCATCAGTGAGAACTTTGAAGATGAAACGAGGCTGGGTCTTCCAACATGACAATGATCCAAAACACACCGCCCGGGCAACAAAGGAGTGGCTCCGTAAGAAGCATTTGAAAGTCCTGGAGTGGCCTAGCCAGTCTCCAGACCTCAACCCCATAGAAAATCTGTGGCTGGAGTTGAAAGTCCGTGTTGCTCGGCGACAGCCCCAAAACATCACTGCTCTCGAGAAGATCTGCATGGAGGAATGGGCCAAAATACCAGCTACTGTGTGTGCAAACCTGGTAAAGACCTATAGTAAACGTTTGACCTCTGTTATTGCCAACAAAGGTTATGTTACAAAGTATTGAGTTGTATTTTTGTTATTGACCAAATACTTATTTTCCACCCTGATTTATGAATAAATTCTTTACAAATCCTACCATGTGGATTCATGGATTTTTTTTTTCACATTCTGTCTCTCACAGTTGAAGTGTACCTCTGGTGCAAATTACTGACCTCTGTCATCATTTTAGGTGGGGGAACTTGCACAATCGGTGGCTGACTAAATACTTTTTTGCCCCACTGTATATATATATATATATATATATATATATATATATATATATATATATATATATATATATATATATCCTTCAAGCTCGGGTCCTCTACCAGAGGCCTGGGAGCTTGAGGGTCCTGCGCAGTATCTTAGCTGTTCCCAGGACTGCGCTCTTCTGGACAGAGATCTCCGATGTTATTCCCGGGATCTGCTGGAGCCACTCGCCTAGCTTGGGGGTCACTGCACCTAGTGCTCCGATTACCACGGGGACCACCGTTACCTTCACCCTCCACATCCTCTCGAGCTCTTCTCTGAGCCCTTGGTATTTCTCCAGCTTCTCGTGTTCCTTCTTCCTGATATTGCTGTCATTCGGAACCGCTACATCGATCACTACGGCCGTCTTCTTCTGTTTGTCTACCACCACTATGTCCGGTTGGTTAGCCACCACCAATTTGTCCGTCTGTATCTGGAAGTCCCACAGGATCTTAGCTCGGTTATTCTCCACCACCCTTGGGGGCATCTCCCATTTTGACCTCGGGACTTCCAGGTTATACTCAGCACAGATGTTCCTGTACACTATGCCAGCCACTTGGTTATGGCGTTCCATGTATGCCTTGCCTGCTAGCATCTTGCACCCTGCTGTTATGTGCTGGATTGTCTCTGGGGCATCTTTACACAGCCTGCACCTGGGGTCTTGCCTGGTGTGATAGACCCCAGCCTCTATGGATCTTGTACTCAGAGCTTGTTCTTGTGCTGCCATGATTAGTGCCTCTGTGCTGTCTTTCAGTCCAGCTTTGTCCAGCCACTGGTAGGATTTCTGGATATCAGCCACCTCCTCTATCTGCCGGTGGTACATACCGTGCAGGGGCCTGTCCTTCCATGATGGTTCCTCGTCTCCCTCCTCTTTCTTGGGTTTCTGCTGCCTGAGGTATTCACTGAGCACTCGGTCAGTTGGGGCCATCTTCCCAATGTATTCTTGGATGTTCATTGTTTCATCCTGGACTGTGGTGCTGACACTCACCAGTCCCCGGCCCCCTTCCGTCCGCTTAGCGTACAGCCTCAGGGTGCTGGACTTGGGGTGAAACCCTCCATGCATGGTAAGGAGCTTTCTTGTCTTTATGTCAGTGGCTTCTATCTCCTCCTTTGGCCAGCCTATTACCCCAGCAGGGTACCTGATCACGGGCAGGGCGTACGTGTTGATGGCCCGGATCTTGTTCTTACCATTCAGCTGACTCCTCAGGACTTGCCTGACCCTCTGCAGGTACTTGGTGGTTGCAGCCTTTCTAGCGGCCTCTTCATGGTTCCCATTCGCCTGCGGGATCCCCAGGTACTTGTAACTGTCCTCTATGTCTGCAATGTTGCCTTCTGGTAGTTCAATCCCCTCAGTTCTGACTACCTTCCCTCTCTTTGTTACCATCCGACTACACTTCTCCAGTCCGAACGACATTCCAATGTCATTGCTGTATAGTCTGGTAGTGTGGATCAGTGAATCGATGTCTCGTTCACTCTTGGCATACAGCTTGATGTCATCCATGTACAGGAGGTGGCTGACAACTGCTTCGTTCCGTAGTCGGTATCCGTAGCCAGTCTTGTTAATGATCTCACTGAGGGGGTTCAGGCCTATGCAGAACAGCAGTGGGGACAGAGCATCTCCTTGGTAGATCCCGCACTTGATGGTGACTTGTGCTATGGGCTTGGAGTTGGCCTCTAGTACGCCACATCCCCATTGAGTTCCTGATGAAGGCTCTTAGGGTCCCATTGATCTTGTACAATTCTAGGCATTCCAGTATCCAGCTGTGGGGCATTGAGTCATAGGCCTTCTTGTAATCAATCCAGGCAGTGCACAGGTTGGTCAGTCTGGTCTTGCAGTCTTGGCTGACTGTTCTGTCTACCAGTAGCTGGTGTTTTGCGCCTCTGGTATTTTTG